GTAGCTCACTGAGGCTGTTTCAGCTCCTCTTGATAAGGCAACTGACTGCAAGCAGTTCCTGCCATGTGATCTTAGTCAGAAGCAATAGTCAAGGCAGAGCGAACAGCCGTGTGCCAGCATTAGCGGAAGGAAGGTGGAGAAGCACAGAGTGTTTCCTACAGGAGAGCACTGACATACATTTTTGGCTTCGTCTACAAGGGTGGACCTGCAGAAGGGCAGAGCAATTCCTGGCGTGATCTGCGTCTCTGCAAGCTCTTGAAATAGTGTTCTCATGGTATCAGTCTGGATCAGCAAGCAGCTTGCGTCCAGATCATACAGATGTGTTGACACTGACATGGGAAATAATGTTCAAAGTAAAAAAGGATCAACATTTTGACGTTGTAGGCCCATTTCAAAACAAGAAGAAGCCGTGCATAGAAGTCATGGCTCTGCCACAGTTCCATGCACACTCCCATTGTCAGTTCTGGAGGAAAACACTTTGCGTAGGGGAGAGTGTTGCAGAAATGCTGCTGCTTGACATGGCCCATAAAAAAACGGTTACAGCACCTTGATGAAGAAATGAAAACTTAAGGGAAAGAAAACAAAAAAAAAAAGAGACCATTGATATTTATGTTACTGTCCTGTTAGCCTGTATTGGAAATTTTTCTTTTGAGGATTGAGCCTTGTAGAAAAGCACTTGTCAGTTTTGATTGTTTTTTAAACTTTAATTGGCTAAATTCAGTTTCATGTTGTAGCATTATGTATTTGTCTGACTGAGTTGGAGTCAAAGGTTTTATTTCTACAGGCTTTTGTATTCTGTTGCTTTGTCTTTTGAGTATGGCAACATATTCCTCTGACCTTCTCCCCTCTCCTCTCAGTGCCTAATCATGGGGTTTTGGTTTTGTTTTTGAATCCTGCCGTGTCAATATAACAAGTAAGTAACCTTCACCCATGCTGCTTTCTAATTTTATCTCATGGTGGCCTTGCAGTGCGCTACAGTCCCAGCCCAAGAGTGTGGCATCAGCACATTCCAGCAGCTGGAAGTCAGGGAGCACCAGTGACTCAGACAGCTCTTCAGACTCAGAGACAGAGAGCAGCTCAAGTGCCAGTGAAGCAAACGACCCTCCAACAGCATCAGCACCTGAGGTGAATGCAAAAGAAACTTAGAGGCTGCTTAATACAGTCTCTTGCCTCAGACTCTCTGTTGTCTGACTGGAGTCAGGGCAGGAAGCCTGAAATACTGTCATTGTTCAACCGTCCCCTTTACATCTTTGCTGCATCATCAGACTTTTCTTGCCCCTTGCTACCCTCCTAGAGTTTGTCAGTTAAATAGCGCTTAGTAACAGCATAATTAGACTCTTAGGTGCCTAACCCTGAAGTGTTCACATTTCTCCTTTGACATCATTGTCTACCACTCCTGGTGGATTTAATGCCTCCACTGGTGAGCCATAAGCAAGGAGCGGATGAGAAGCAGAGCTTCTGAGATGTGTTTCAGGTCCACCTCTGCCCATGCAGCTTTTATGGGTGCTGAGGCTATATGCTAATTCAGGGTGAGACCAGCTTCCTGCAGCTCCTGTGCATAAGCGACAGATTCAGCTTCTCCCAGATAGCAGCTGAAGTGATCGGACCTGCAGGATGGATTGGAATGTGCTTAGACTTGCTTCTGTTGAATTTGTCTCAGGAAGTTCTGCACTGGTGTTTCTGAGACTTTTACTGGGAAAAGCAGACAAACAGAACTTGGTGCCTTAGAGTTTTACAATTGAGACCATGCATTTTTAAAATATCTTCTGCAGAAGTGCTCACATGGTTTTATATGGTTCCTGCAGCTTGCAAAACATTTTTAGGCCAGTGGGAGTTGCATGGTTATTCCTACAGACCACTCCCCCACCCCTAGCTTTCTTTACTTTTACCTTAGAAGCAGAGAAACAGGCAGAATTTTATATGCAAAAAACCCAAAGTTTGAGAAGGCGTATCTTTTCACCTTGCATCTAAGATACTTTGCCTTCCAGCAGTTTAGTTAGGCTTTGCTGTCTGGAGTACGGCAGTCTTGAGGAAGGGAACAGGTGCTATACTTCTTCTGCCAAATCCTGCCTGATTTGTCCTGAAAAATAATAGATTGTAAGATCCTTCTCACTCTAGTGAAGTCCGAGCTATTCGTTATTGGCCGTTTTATCCTTTTTTATTCAGCAAACTGTTCATCCATGGTGCTTAAGGCTCAGATGGCCCATTTCTTTATAGGCAGTTCTTCACATGCAAAGGACTTTGACCTATATGCAATAGTTCCTTCTTTTGCTGTTTTTCTCCTTTTTTAAAAAAACAAGTTTCTTAAAATCCTTTATGTTTGGAAAACCCAGTGAAAACCCATATGGTGGCCTAGATCACAAGCAAGATAGAAGTCCTAGATCATGCTACTCTCTGATAGCTATCTAGATAATAAATTCAGGTTTACTAAGTTTGTTGTCCATGTTTTTATAGTGTTTAAACAAAGAAAAAAAGCTCTTACAGTGGCTAATAAGCTACAAATCTAAAGAAATGAAAGCAGATTTGTGTTACATGAAAAGTATAGTGGGATTTGTGGTTTAATTTACTTACAAACCCATGGTAAAACCAAACTGTGCTCTGATGGTGCCCAAGTAACGAGCTGTACATTTCAGTGATGTTGACACAAACGTGGTATTTTCAGAATGGGCCCCAGACAATCGTGTCCCTGATTTTCAGCTTCTGTGATCTGGTTTAGGGCCAGCTGGGTTCATTTTTCTCATAATGTGTCAGACTACTGTTAGATTAGGCTGGGCTCGTAGCAACCACACTATGTTACCTGTCCAGAGCTCTTCAGACCTTGGTTGTTGCTCATGCTTTGCTGGACCCAGAGGGGAGCAGGTGTTGGGATGCGTAGGCAGAGGACTCGGAAAAGGCTGGACTTGATGTTCTAGCCATACAATTTCTTTTGTTAAATGGTTTTCTTTTGGTTAAAGCACAAGGGCCTACCTGTCAGGCTTGAGTGAGATGTGATAGCTGGCACAGCTGCTTGTCTGTTTTGAAAGCCACGCTGTGTGCAAATAACTCTGCAAAAGCATTGCAAGGACAGCACCTAATCCATTTTTACAAGTGCTGCTGTTTGCGGTCTGATTGTGAAATGACGTTGGTTAGTGGCAAACTAAGACGAAGCTTTCACGTAGACTGGTCTCTTACCGAGTGACAGGTAGGGCTAGCGGAGATGGAGGAGTGCTGTGCAACGTTTGACTGATCCTGTGCAAAAACCAGGTCCGTGTTTCTGAAGTGTCGATGTGCACATGCTAGAGCATCCCCACTGTCTCATGGTCTTTGCTCTCAAGCCCTTTAAGTTGTAATGAGAAATTTTGCTGGGATCTGGTAAGCTGTGCTGGGATGGAAATAGCCCATAAAGGTATCAGTTTTGCATCCTCTCTTTCTTGTTTTGTCCACAGCCTGACCCACCAATTTCTAACAAGTGGCAGCTTGACAACTGGCTAAACAAGGTGAACCCACCGGCAGTGCCAGCAGAGAGTCTCAGTGACATCGCCCACGAGGATGGGCGTGAGAAGGGCAAGGAGCAGGGGCAGGGCGTCAGCAGCAGCTCCTCACACCAGGGGAGCCGCAGGAGCCTCATCGTAAGTGCTGCAGCCCAGCAGCCAGGGCTCCTCAGGATGCGCATCTTCTGTCCAAACGCCACTGCCAGACGTCTCCTGTGCGCGCTGAGGAGCCCTCCCCCAGGCAGACCGTGGGTAGCAAAAGGCCCGGCAAGGCCCCGGTGCACGAGGGGCCGAGGCGAGGCCTGGAGGTGGAGAGTAGCGACCCTGGTGCTTTCAGGGTCAGAGACCGGTCTTCCAGAGACAAGCCAAAAGTCAAAACGAAAGGGAAGCCGAAATGCAGCATCACAGAAGACCTGAAGCCAGCCCTGCAAGAGCACTCAGAGAAGAAAAGGCACAAGAGCTCCCACCAGGCCAGCGCCAAACCTGCCTCGGACCCTAAGCCTGTGAGAGACGTTTTGCTTGGCAGTAGCCAGGAGCCTCTCGCTCTCAGTCCCCTTCCTCAAGGCCAGGGCACAAGCCCCACCAGCACTAGCAGCTACAAGGCTGCCATCGTGGCCAGAGAGGATTTTCAGGAGGAGAAACTTCCCTTGCCTGTCGAGGAGAAGTTGCTCTCACCAGTAACCGACTCCCCTGCCTGTGAGCCCCTCATAGTGAAAATCCATCTCCCTCTCCTGTCAAGGGTCCCCCAGCCACCTCGGAAAGGGAGTTGCAAGAAGAGAGCAGAGGCCAAGGAATTCCCTGGTGTAAAGAAGCAGGACTTGGAGAGTAAAACTATGGACACTGTGGACAAGTGTCTTCAAAAGAGGAAGGTGAGAGGTACTTTAAAACACTTTTTGCTATGTTTTCTTGAAATACTCAATGTCTCAGGTAACAAAGCCCCAGCTTTCCTACGTCAGAGGAGCTTTTGGCAGTTGTCTGTGTGGCTAGCCAGTCCTCTCATAACATTTGCAGTTTTCTTTGGCTTTTAACCTAAGCGGAGCTTTGTAAGCCTGTGGTACTCCCTCCCCCTGCAACCCCTTGACGAGCAGCATGGTATCTGAAGCACCTCCCAGACTGTCCAGTCACCTATGCTAATCCAATTCATGTCTGTTGTGGGAGAGCACCTTTGGCAGTACCCAGGTTTGTAGGAGTGCCCAGAGGGAAAACTGACCCAAGCTACCCCAGTCTGTTCTTTTCAGTTTTGTCTGTGTAGGCACCTTCTGCTGCCATAGCCATGAAACCTCAATCTGATTTAGTGTAGTCTTTTTCCTGTGTGGAGTCATTTATTTCCATGAAACAGGTGTGATTTCTTGCTTGTGTAAAGAGGAATGAATTCTGCAGGTGTAGCTTGTGTTATTACCATTTTCTGAACTTCTTATAGTTGTGGGGGAGGATTGAAAAGAGCAGGGAAATGGGGAGGAAACTTGAGAGACCCTCATTCAGGTGAGCTGATGATTTGCGTGCTTTTTATTCTAAGATCTGTAGAGCGCAGTTAAATTTTTTTTTTTTTTAATCTCTCTGCCTAGTGGTTCCTGTTCTTCTGGAAGACAATGGCTGCAGTTGTTACTGACTGTTTAAAATTTCATCGTATCAGATTCTTGTTAATAAAACCAAAAACCACTGCACATCTGGGCAATCAGAGTGATCTGTACTATGAATGCATATTTTCCTTCCCTTTGATACAGAGTATCACAAAACACAATTGCTTGCAGTTCATGACTTTTCCAGGAGGAATCTGAATACTTTTCTGTATGATTCATACTGACTACGACAAAAAAACCCATCTAAAATAGCTAAATTGCTTCTTTTCAGCAATGGGAGTGCCTTAATTTTGATTACTGTTATCAACAAGAGGCTTAGCTGTTCCATGCCCACCACAATAATTAATCCAAACAAAATAATTAATGCAAACAAAAATAGTTTGAATGTCATTTTAGGATATTTGTCAGTGAGACCGAAATCTGTATCTGCTGTGGTCTAAATTTCAGCTTTGTCGGTTCTGATATCTTTTCTTTTTTACCCAGAATCAATCAAACTTAGCTGTGTTAGTCTGTAGTTTTCATGCACTTTCAAAACCTGAGTGATGTTTTTCCCTTTTTGTTTTTCTTCCTGTTAGAGAGAAGTGGAGAAGGATATTGGTAGAAAGAAAATGAAATCAGAAAAAGGAACAAAAGCTGTGCAGTCTCCAGCTAATAAAGATTCTCATAAATTGAAGTGAGTATACAATGGTTGGATGGCAGAAAGATGCATAAAACCGAGTCTTTCTGAAAAAGGTTAAGGTGAGGAACTGTATCTGCCACCCTTATGAGTTTGCGTATAAGACAACGTGCATTCTGAAACCTCATCTGCTGCAGATCTGTCTTGACATCCTGGAACCAACCACGTGGCTGTGGGAATGTGATTTATTTGCCTTTTTATTTGCTGCAGATGCAAAGAGACACTTGGGTGTCACCTGTCTGCCTCTCCCTTCTGAATGCTGAGGGTTGTGATTCAAATCATTCAAGCACAAGTTGATGTTGCAATGGCTGATCGTCCTCCCATATATGTTTTTACACTGCTGCAAAAGCTTTGACTAGATGATCTTTAAAGCGTCCTTCCAACCCAAATTATTCTGTGATTCTAGATGAGTAAAACTTGAGTGTTCAAGTATCAATTATTTCTACTTTCATGAGAAATGGAACTAGCATTGCAGTGCTTTTAAAAAGGGAGTTGAACTAGATGCGCTTTAAGGTCTGTTCCAACCCAACCCAAGCTGAAAGTGTGGCCTGAGAGTCGTGACTCTCCTTGCTCTGACTGAGCAGTCACGTCCACAGCAGAGACTTCTGTCAGCCTCTGGGGAGCGGATGTTGTACCAAGCAGCACAGCATGCCCGTACCTTTTCACGGGGTGGTCATTGCTGATTTCTTCATTGGGCGGCTCCTGATGAAAGACAAGTCAGGTGTTGATGCCGATGCTGTCTGCCCCCTTAGCTGCTTGTGCTGTCCCTGCTTACAGGCTTTGAACAGCACTTACTGGCTGGCTGCTGGTGCACGCAGCGTCTGGGCTGGCTGGGGCCTGTCTTCTCCCAGCTGGGAACACGGAGGATAATGGGATGGATGTTGCAGAGTATTGCAGAACTCTCTTTGCTCGCCTCGCTGCCGCACAACCAGCGCACCTTTTGAATCATGAGTCCGTCGGGAATTTCAGGTGGCCTTTCTGGCCAGGAATGTCTCATTGATTCCAGCATAGCATTGGCAGTGCTTCTGGTAGATCTGGTGAAACTTCTTACCCCATAATTTGCATAGCGGTGTCCTGCCAGCATTTTGGCTAGGCCTTTGCTAGAGGGAATGATTCCAGGAGCATGTCGTCAAACGGGCCGTGTTCCTGAAGGGAGAGGCTCAGGAGTCAGTCATGGGCTACTGCCTTCAGTCCTTCCTTGCTTGTGGCTTGAAATTGAGGTGTTGACTTGGGCTGCCATGTAGCGCTGAGCTTTGTGTCCTCACAGTAGGAGCAAACTGCTTCTTCGCAGAGGAAGCACTGAGAGGTTGGAGCTAACCTTTGGTTGAGCGAAGGCATATTTGAGCTGGGGTGATAACGGAAGGACTTTAATTCTCGGGTTCATTCCTCCCTTTTCTCAGTGAAAACGAGCACTCCCTTTAGCCATGGCTTTCAGAGTAGGAAGGATAGGATGCCTTTTTGGGGAGAGAGGGCTCTGGGTAAGCTTAGCGCATGCTGCTGTGTTCTACCTAGAATAGTCCTCTGGAGCATCAGCTGAGTAGTGAGGTAGAGAAGGTAGTGAAACTCAGGAGCGTGTGTGCAGTGAGTAGCGACTGTACCATGAAAAAAGTGACTTGTTGGAGAGGGGAGAGGACTGTCCCATGTGCAGCAGAATGAAACAAGATGTACAACACCATGCTTCGCTCTCCCTGATTTTAACTGCATTTTCTCCTCTCCTGATGCTGCAGTCCATGAGTTGGATTTCACTGTTTTCTTGAGAACTTTGAGAAGTTGAATAAAAATTACGTAAATTATAAGCAGTAGTGAAACAAGGTTTAGGACTATTAGGTGCTGCTTAGAGCTGCTAAATTTCCCTGATAATAGTAGCTGTAGATGATCAGAAAGCTGTTATGTCACCGTATTATTATATGTGATAGTCTCTGCCACTTAAAAGCATGCATTTTAAGTCTCTCTCACTTGAAACCTCTCAACTTTATATGTGTTGTCTTGTTGAGCTGTAAGGCTTAAGGGAACAGCTCAGTTTAATTCTGTTAAAGCATGTACAGGATCAAGTGTCAGGGTGAGTATGTCTGACCATAGAAGATATTTTCTCCGATAATGAGGAGAGAGAGATACAGTGCGACCATTCCTTTGCCTTGCTTGGTGGTTTGTCCCAGGGATTTTAGTTTCCGTAATTACCTCTCTCCCTCTTTCAGTGAAAAGGGGCTGTGTTGGAGGGATGCCTTTTCTGCAACTTCCTAATACTCTGGTTGCAAGTCTTTACTCCAAGGACAAGTCTTGAGGCTTATTCCTACTTGAAAAGCAACTTGCTTGTACATTGTGGGCAGCTGAAGATGTGGTGTCTTGTGTGTGATGAAGTCCCTTAAGTTTTGCTTTGCCTTTTTTGGACTCTTTATGTTAACAAGTCGTATTGCACTTCCAGAGAAATTTAAACAGAATTGGCACACAACGTAACAGAGTTTTTTAAAAAAATCTACATTAAATGTACACTATATTCATCTCAGTTGCTTAATTCACTTCCCATCTCCAGAGCACCAAAAGCCTCATGTGAAAACCAGAAGAAAGATGTCTTGTTACCCGCACCACTGTCACCAATGTCTGCTGCACATCCTTCACCAAAGTTAAACAAGAAGGCCCAAAAGAGACTCGTGAGTGAGAGCGGCGAGCTGCCTCCGACAGATAACACTGCCAGGAACAAGAGCAACCACAAGGATCCTTTATTCTCCAAGCACAAGAAAGTGGAGAGAAATCATGCTGAGCTGTTGAGGGATGTCAAAGTATGTGTCTCTTGTAACTGGTGGGCTGTTTCCTGTGGGTACTGTGTGATTCTCTTCAGAAGTATGCTCTAGAGGTATTAAAAAGGAAGGGAAAAAAAAAAGGAAAAGAGCCACCAGAGAAAGGTCTTAGAAGAATTTTTGCCTCTTAATGGCCATGTGTGACCCTGTTTTGCTAGCCTGAAAAGCCTGTATGGTAACTGCCCTGCTGACCTTCTATAATCTGTCTTATTCTTGCCAGTGAAAAATAGTGAGAAAGGGTAACGATATAAAAACAGAAAGAAAGAGAATCATGTTTATGGTAGAAACAGTTACTGATTGTAGGCAACTGCAAGTACAGTGTTGGCGCATAAAAAATAAACGTGCTTACAAAAAGAAAAAGTGGATTGCTTAAAATTAAGAAAGAAGCAACCTGTGACTTTGACTGCAAACTGGATATAAGATTTTTTAGCTTACAAAATTGTTAATGGTCCTTGCAGCTGGATCTTTGCCTTTTGGGGTTATAAAATTCAGCTATATTGCTGGTTTACTGGTGGCTGAGTGTTGTCATGTATGTTAAGCCAGACTGTGCATGCTGTATTAGTTGGCTTGCTTTTTCCTGCTAATATAGTTAGTAATGGGGAATCTGCAATTGTGTGGTTAAGCTGGAAATAAACATGAATGGATATTACCTGTTCCTGCTTTGTCTAGTGGCCATGAAAAATGTGCTGCTTGCAGCTTTACTGCTATCTTAGTTGTGCAAGGAAACCTGCTACCTGTTTTTTCTGTGCTTGGGAGAAGTTTGAATGGTATTAAGCCTTACTAGCAGTCAGGTAAGGAGCCAAATTTCCATTTCCGTTATTGGAGAGGGTGCTGGGGAAGATAGAAAGAAAAGGGGGAGAGACTGGATAATAGACTCTGCCTTGGACAGATCAACATTTTTACTTGAAATGTAGGAAAACCAGGTTTGGCATTGGTTTAAATCCCTCTAACGAGCTTTGTCTCTACAATGTGGTTTTTCAGGGATCTGCGGGGAATGTCACAAATCCTTTCCCAGAACCTTCATTGCCAAATGGTGCCTCCAAGCCAAGGAGACCTCTCCTCAAGCTTGAAAAGTGAGTTTTTGTTTTACACCCCTCACCTGTACTTTCTGAAGGCACCAGGCAAGGCTGGCCCTGAAGCCACCCTGGCTTCTGCATCTTGACGAGCACTTCTTTGGGGAGGAAGGAGAGAGGGAGAGATGGCTCAGACCTGCCCTGTGCTGCCTTCTCGTGCCTGGGACTTACCCCACCCAGCACAGAGCAAAGGTCTCATTACAACAGTTCTTGGCTTGAGGGAATCCTCTCTAGAAATCAGGTACTTGTGAACTCTGAGAGACGATGCCTCTTGTGCCTGCCTACAAGTAACGGGTCTTGATTTCCTGATTCTTGACAAGCGTCAAGCTCCTCCATGACAAGGTGCTGGCAAGTAACTGATGTTTCCTGAGAGGGCACGACTCTTTACTTGCTCTTCTTGTTAGTGCACAGGTGGCTGTGTTCCATTTGCACAGTGAACAGCTTATCCCGGTGCACAGAAATGTGGGGGGGACAACTTCATCATCGTTTATGGGCTGACTGAGACCAAGGCCTGTAGAAGCCTTGGTGCCCCTATCTCTTGTAAGCAGGTAATCTGAATGCAAGCTCTTTTGGTCTGAGACGAGTGCGTGGTACTGCAAAGTTTACTGTAAGTTTCAGTCAAAACGTGTCTGTGGTTTTGTACTTGAGGAATGATAGGAGATCATGTCGCAGCTGTCTTTCTGTGGGAGTGAAGAAGTAAATGTGGCCTCATAGTAGCCTAGCCTCCGGTGGGATTTTATTTTGAAATGTATGTTTTCAGTGTTATTCTAACATAATTTTTTTTCATAAATCAATTCATTTTATCTGTGTATTCAGCTACAGTGTATTTCTGAACATGCAAACAACATTAGTGACTATGATGGTTGTGATATGTGTTTGAAAAGACTAACAGGCTTACCAAAACAGGGTGTTTGGACTCATAGCATCTTCTAGATATGAAGATAAAAATGATAATTTCCTACTCTTTTTTTCTCTTTTATCCCATCTTTGTCCTCAATTCAGACAGCATCCAATTGAGTACTACATGGAAGAGGCCAAGAAGCTGAAGCACAAAGCTGATGCAATGGTAAGTCTTGGCCCTGTGTCGAAATGTTAACCAGCTCTTGCATTCGGAGCCGATAGCTGCCCGCACACGAGTAAGAATCGCTGGCTCACGTTGCTTCCATGCTCCGTACCTGGCGTGAGTTCAAGTCATATGTGGGGAGGGTGTCTGTATGTGCCACGTGTTCACATGTTTCCTGTTGTTACAAACACATCTGGAGGACGCGGCTAGAGAACAGGGTTCAGAACTGGCGTTGCTGGAGGCGAGCAGGCCTGTTTGCTTTGCAGAGCTATCACAAAGCACTCAATTTTAAGTCAATTTATGGCTCATTCAGGTACCGTACGTTTGCTGCTTTCCATTTACCTGTGAAAATGAAGTTGAGGGAATACTGCAACAGGGAAATCCCATCTGCCTCTCACGAGGCAGGCCTCCAAGACCAGACTATAATATCCACAACATGTCAACATAAAAAGTTGCTCGAGGAAAACACTGAGCAAGTGGAAGAGATGCAAACAGCCAGGGCACACAAAGCTGGTGACTGGGACCACATTAGGGGTTCTACTGAGAATTCTTTGATTATCACCTGCTGTGCTGGCTGGCATCTGTTTTCTTTCTTCACATCCTGCCTAACTAGAGAGAAAAATTGTACCCCTGAGAGAGAAGTAGTTTTTGTCTTAGTCTAAAAGTGAGAATTTTCTTCCCAACAGACTGACAAAACTGGAAAGGCCTTTCAGTACCTAGATGCTGCTCTTTCCTTCATTGAATATGGGATTGCCTTGGAATCGGATTCATCAGCACCAAAATCAGCCTACAGCATTTTCAGTGACACCATAGATCTCCTCAAGTAAGTGGGTTTCAAAGCACGATGGTCAGGCAGCATGTCGGGAGGGGAAGGGTCAGTCGCACGGCGTGTTCGAGTTGCTGTGGAAGCACCAGACAGACCAACCATCGAGAGGCACCAGAGACAAATCCCTGGAACGGTTTCAGCATGGCTTATCAGAAGCACCAGGCACCGGGTCCTCCTGAGCAACTGAGCCTTGCAGCTGAGGTACACCAGACCATACGGGTTAGGATGTGAAGGAGCTTTTACTTTATCCAGATCAGAAGCAGTTTTGCCTGTGAGCTCAGTGGTATTTCGGTTAAGAAAAGAAAAGCCCGTTAATCAGTGTAAGAGGAGAGTGAGTCACATCTGTTCCACTGCATCAAAAACAAGGCATTCTGAGGCACAGTTCTCTGTTCCAGGTCATACAAAGCACTCGTGCCAGGACTAAGGGCTGACTTTTGGAACAATGTTTAAGAAAACAGCATGCACTGTTTTTTCATAAACAGTGGAACTTCAAAGCACTGATGGCTGCAAGTTTCTGTTTACTTTGTTTCCTTAGATTCATCATGACATTGAAATCCTTCATGGACTCCTCAGCATCTGCACGTGAAAAAGTCTTTGCCGTGTTATGGTGCGTAACTCTTTTTCTATGCCTTCTTATTTTGTTTTTAGACTTGATAGAGTGAAAGGCTTGTTACTTTTAGAGGCAAAGGAATCAGTTAAATGGGAGTTGGAGTTCATCAAGGCAAAAAACCCCACAATATAAAAACCTGAACTGGAACATCTCTGAAGTGGGCTGAGATACCACAAGGGACCACACATGGAAGGCATAGGCTCTAAAATTTGACCTGCTGGTAATGTGAGAGCATATAAGGGCTTTCACCCAAGGTGAAAGAATGTGCTTTGGCTGTCCATGTTTGAGCTGTGTAACTGTAGCTGAGCATACCGAAGGCCCTTCTCTATGGGATGTGGGCACATACTCAGCCTGTGGCACCTGTAAGAGGCTGGGCACCTGTTTATATAAAAGACCGGATGTGACCCTTCCTCGTTTGTGAGTTGGGTTTTTTTTTTATTTGTCTTTTTTTTTTTTCATAGAGTCTTTACGATGAGCAGGAGGAGGAGAATATCTGAGCCTTCTTGGCTTTGCAGTACAGTTGATGTATGCCTGTCTCTGTCCCGCAAGGCTGATGACTGCTGAGCAGGCAGCAGCGAGCGTGGACACTGACCCTTGGGTGTGCTTCTATTCACAGCATGCGCTGCCAGTCCATTCTGCACATGGCAATGTTCCAGTACAAAAAAGACACTGCGATGAAGTATTCCAGGGTCCTGAATGAACACTTCAAGGTAGGGCAGGCATGTTACCAAGGTACCACTAGATGCCTGCAGTAGGTAATGATGTCAGCTGCATAGCCCAAAGCTAACAAGAGTTCTGTTCCTCACTGCAGAATTCTTCCAGAGCAACTCAAGCACGTTCTCCATGTGTTGCAAGGTAAGATTTAAAAATACCTATGTTGTAATGTGCCTCTAAGGGTGTGAGTGAGAACAGTAGCCAGAGAATTTACAAGCTGCATTTGAGAGTGGCTTGCCACTTGCTCTTTCTTACCACCTGAAATCATACTGTTAGGGAGCATGAATGTGTTTCTCCTCTCTCTTTGCTCTCTTTTTTTCTTTG